CCTTTGCATAATCAATGAAACACAGACATTCCTCTGGTATTCCCTGCTTTCAGCTATGATCCATCTAACATTAGTTACAATATCCCTAGTACCACGATCCCTTCCAAACCCAGCCTGGACTTCCAGCTGTTCTGCTGTTCCAGTTGTTTTTTGACAACCTTCAGTAGAATCTTGCTTGCATGTGAAATCAATCATATTGTTCTATAGTTTCCATACTCTGTTGGGTCACCCTTCTTTGGGATAGGAAGAAATACAGATCTCTTCCAGTCAGTTGGTCAAGTGGTTGTTCTCCAGATTTCTTGGCACAACTTGGTGAGCACATCCAGGGCAGCGTTTGTTAGCTGAAATATGTCAAGTGGTATACCATGTATTCCGAAAATATGATTAGGTATTATTATTATGACAAGAGTCCAGAATGAAAGCTCCATAGTGGAGTGGACTATGAGGAGGGGGGGGACACTGCATAACAATGAAATAATTTTTTTTTCCACTTTTCAAAGAGAAAAGTGAATTGAGGGGGAGGAGTGGGCAGGGGGGAACGTGTACAACAATGAATGAATGGTAATCCAAAGTCTCTGTAAACTTTCATTAAAATAAATTAAAAAAAAAGAGTGGGAAGCTTCACCTTGTAGAAGTGTAAAACTGATACCTGGAAAAACAAGGCAGTTCTATTGCAATTATGGTTCTCACAAATTTCAACAGAGATAGAAAGGGAGCAAATAAGAAACTTCAGCTCTACTGCTCTTGAATCAATTCTTACTCATTCTGTTTTGTACTGTTGTGTAGAATTGACTCATCACTGACACTCCAGTGGGTTTCAGTAGAATAAATACATGGTAGGAGTTTGCTCAGCTCTTTCCCATGGAGCAGCTGGTAGACTTGAACCAGGTGCTACTGGGTTGGCAGTGAAAACTCCTTATCACTAAGCCACCAGAGCTCCCTATACTGCTTCTTAGTGGCCCTAAATATTGTACTTCTGTTACTCTAGGGAGCTCTAACATACCAGGTAGTAAGGAGTTGCACTACCAACCCAAAGGGAGGCCGTTTAAAATCTATTAGCTGCTTTTCAATAGAAAGAAGGTTTAAGCTCTTCCCGTGTAATTTACAGACCCTGAAAATCTGTCATTGAGTCAGCTTTGGGTTGTTTCTGATTCCACAGCAGAGCTTTATGACTTACTTTATAGAGTGCTCATTAGTTCCCTTCTTAGAAGACCAAGTACATATGGAAGCTTTAAATCTTTCCCACCCCCAAAAACCGAAACCACCCCTGCAACCAAATAAAATATCCCACAACCACACCACCCCACAAAAAACCAACCACCCCAAAACCACTCTAGTTGCTATGAAGTGAATTTCAATGCACAGCAATGCCACACAGATAAATAATTTTTTCTGACTCAATGTCGAGAGGAAAGAACTCTGGTTTACTAGTTAAGTTCAGTGCTATTTCAGGTAATCAACTTGGTAATAATAGGTTTGGTTTGGGTTTAGGTTCTGCAGGAGCGCTAGTGGTGTGGTAGACTAAGCACTGAGCTGCTAAGACAAGGTCAGTGGTTCGAACTCACCTGGTGCTCAGTAGGAAATAGTTGAAGCAGTCTACAGATTTACAGCCTTGAAAAGTTTATGGGGAGCTTACACTTACCCTGTACAGTGATTATGAGACAGAAGTGAATTGATGCCAGCTGGCTTTGGTTCAAAAAGGAGCCCAACAGTGTTTAAAGTTTCTGCCTCATAACCCAAAGGTCAGTGGTTGGAATGCACCAGTGATTGATTCTGCAGGAAAAAGATGTGGCAGTCTGCTTCTGTAAAGATTTAGAGTCCAAGGGTCCTTATGGGGCAATTCTACTCTGCTCTGGGGGTCACCATGAGTCAGAACTGAATTCAAAGCAATTGGTTTGGGCTCTGTGAACATGCATCCTAGGAAGGTTGTTGTTAAGTGCCGCCGAGTCGCAGGCGACTCATAGCGACCCTATGAAGGAGAGTCCTCGACTCTTGGGTGCCTTTCATCCTCTCTCCAGGTTCATAGGGTTTCCAGAGGCAAGCTATTATGGAAGTGGATGCCACTCCTCCTTCCATGCCTAGGAAGGTAGGGAAGTAAAAAAAATTAAAATGATCTAGAGTGCAGCCTGGCTGGCTGCCATTTAGTGACAAGGAGGTGCTCTGCTTCTACCTTAAATCTTATCCATGCTGTTTTCATAGTCACTTTGGTGAATATTTTAATTAGCACAATTAATATTTTAAAGTTCACAATATTAGTATGCACATGGTATTTGATCTTTGATTAATAATTAATTAATTATTAATATTTGATTGTCATTGGTTTTTTGCTTTAAGGCTGTCATTAAAATGTCAATTCATGTTGTTATTATATGTCATCGAGATGCCTGCAACTTACAGTGATCCTATGTACAACAGCCCTAACCCCTGCTCTATCCTGTGCCAATTTCAGTGTCTCTTACACACCTTCCCCCATTACTCCAGTCACTGAATCAATCCATCTCATGCAGGGTCCTCCTCTCTTGTGCTGTCCCTCCACCCTCCCAAGCATGACGTCCCTCTCCAAGGACTGATCCTGCCTAGAAACATGTCCAAAGTACGCCAGAAGAAGTTTCAGAATCCTTGCCTTCAATTAATGTACGCTTTGAAAAGTATTTAACATCAAATAAAAACTTACTGTTGATGAGAACATCTCCTTTTCCTCCCCACTTCCCAGCCCCTAGTGAAGACCTATGCTTACCTTCACTGGAAGGTTTAAGATGTGACAATCTTAATAAATCTTTGTGAGACCAGCCGTTTCTCTGTTTATATTTTGTAACTGCCAGAGCAAGGGCCATGCCACTTTTTTCATTGTACCAGTCTGCTACAGCTTTCCGGAGGGCACGACCCCACATACCACATTTCATGCTTTCCTTCAGATCTTTCTTAAACTGGATAAAAGTAAAGAGATGTGTAGGGATACGACAAACTTCAGAAACAGCTTTAAATGCCGCTTGTTTTGTGCTGATGTCAGAACACTGGGAACAAATGGCAAGTGCAAAGAGCATGGGCTCCTGCTTTGCGGTTCTGCCTTCTCGGCTAAATAACTTTATCTCCTGGATCACGTCACATCCTCTGCCATCTTCAATCAATCTAATTAGAGCTTCAGCATTTTCAAGGCCCAGCTTCTGTTCTTTGATATAGTAAGTCCCACCTTCAGAACCAAAACATAAGAATCGCTGTAGTCGATTCATGTCAGTGACTTGCCATACATATCCATCTTCAGAATTGGCTATCTGCTTCTCATTCAGTGGCTGCATTTGGTGCACGGATTCCTCCATTTTATTCCTTTAAGGAAACCTATAAAACAAACAAAAAAAAACCCACCTCAGTGTAATTATAAGCATTATTTATTAATACATTCATAATGAAATGTCATGAAAATTTGAACTATCTCAGTAATATAAAACCATTTTTAATTATAAATATTTCAGTAATTTTTCTCTTAATGAAGATTATGGGATAATGAGAAAATCCAGAAAATAAATTAAAACTCATATAAAGAGAAAAATAATTTAGTTTATATAAAGTTTTTATTTTGTATATTGTTTTTTATAATTTAAGAAAATGAAAAAAGTCCTTCAAGATAAGCAATCTAGAAAAAAGTAAGGATAGCATGAGAATGATGTTGTTGACTGCCACTGAGCAGAGCATGATTCATAGTGAACAAAAGGCCTGAAGCATTTCTATAAGTATTGTTGTTTCTCAAAGTTCATAGTTTGCAGAGGCAGGTTGTTTAGGAAGCGGATGCCACTCCTGCTTCCAATAAGCATGATAAGCAACCCCAAATTATCCAAAAGCAAGTTAAGAACAGACTTCCTTATTTACTAACTAGTAGTAAACACTGTCACCTTTCCTCCTCTCACCACATCAAAGATGCCAGGTATTGCTAGCATCTGCCCTTCTCCCAACCCCAGGGAGCACATGCACAGAATCAACTCAAAGCCTCTTTTCAAATTTACAACCCCTGAGAGTATTGGTGTAGTAGGTAAACCAGGCAAGAACAGGCTTGCTTTTGCTTACTTATAATCTGTATTGAATAAGCTAGCCTGCAGACACACAGTCTTGCAAATCAGCAAGGTCTTGCTAATCATCAACAGCTGAAGCAGCAATGTACTCTTCACACTCCAGAATGTGTAAAAACACCAACAAAGGAGAGGCAGTGTGACTGGGTTTAAGCTTCCTGCTACATCTAGCCTGGCCCTTTGTTCACCAATTTCTACAAAAAACCAAGCCTGCATACCTACAGTCACGTGAGTCATTCCCCTGAGGGGTCTGAGTTCCTGGGGGACCTTCTACCTTCTAGCAAATCTTTGTACCTATAGAAATTAGAGGAATTGGGGAGCTGAGCCACAGAGAGTGCTGTTAATAGGATGTGTGGATTTATACAACTGGTTAAACATTTTGGACTGAGGCTTCTCACAGCCTGCTAATTATTCTTAGTTGCACAAATTATAAAACCAATATCCTATGTCTGAGTTGATTGCTTGGTCCTGTAATTGGTTTATTTTACACATCTTGCAGGAATTGCTAGGTTATACTACTAGGCATATTTGAAGACCAATTCTACAGAGGTTATAAGGGACCTCATTACCATGAAGAATCTAGAGCAGAACATGTCCTTTGTACCCAGAGTCCCCGGGCTGAGAACCTCACAGTCATAGAATTGTCCCAGAATACGGCAAATGGTCCAAGTTGGCACCAAATTGTGGTGAGCACAATTTAGTCCATCCAGCACCAGAGAAGTAAAGATAGCAGTAGCAATGAGAACCCATTACATGGTTAAAAGCCCACTAAAAAATAGCTAAGAGTCTTTTGAGCACGAGGTTTGCTGGTGAAATAGGGGTAGAATGCCTACAGATGCTTGTTGGCAAAGATAAAAGACCTGCAACACTTTTCTGAGAAGCAGGGGCCTAGGCAGGGCATTGGCTGGCACAGTAAGAAGGACCATGAAGCACTAGAGCTAAGAAGGAAGTGAGAACTCTCCTGATTAGGCCTGTCCCAACTGATGGAGGATGATTTCTGTCCCCTGAATAGTATCCCATTTGTATCTTGCCTAACAGGCACCACAGCTGAGTATGATTAGTTAATTCTTTGTGGCTACTACAATGAATTACCAAGTCTAATAGAGAAGTAGACAGTGTCATAGGCAGGGGAGTGGACATAAATGGTGTAAAAAAATAGTAAAAAAGCTGGAAAGTGGAGTTACATCTCGATTCTACCTCATAAAACCAATTTTGTGCTGTGATTCTTCTTCATATAGATGAATTCTGACAATGTTGGGCTGAATTATGGCACTGTCATTCTGCTTTGTCACATAGTGGTTCAGATCTTGGACAGGTGCCATAACTCTGGTCCTTATCAACTTTGATAATGGTCAGAAGTCTGTTGGTTTTTTAAGACTTAAAAAGAAATCCAGGAAGTTTTCGGAATGCTTGATGAGAGGCGGGGGATGATAGTGTTGTGCTTCTTCCTGCTCCCCCACACCAGTCTCGGCCAGGTCAACGGAGACAGAAAATGGTGAAGGAAACAACCTACTATGATGTCTTTGGGGTCAAACCCAAAGCTACCCTGAAAGAGTTGAAAAAAACTTATAGGAAACTGACCTAGAAGAACCACTGAGATAAGAATCCAATTGAAGGCAAAAGTTTTAACAGATTTCCTAAGCTTATGAAGTTCTTTCTGAGGCACTGAGGCAAAGAGACTCATATGATAAAGGAGGTGAACAGGCCATCACAGAGGGTGAAGCAGGTGGTGGTTTGGCTCTCTTCTGGACATATCTGATACATTTTTGGGGGGGAGGTGGTGAAAGAATATAGAGAAAGGAGAGGGGGAAAAAATAACCATGTATTAATTAGCTCTCAGTAACATGAGAAGATTTATATAATAGGGCAACATGAAAACTAGCTCTGCACAAGAATGTGATTTGTGATAAACGTGAAGACGGTGGAGGAGTAGAATGCTGTTCTAATTGCCAAGGTACTGGAATGCAATTAACAATTCATCAGATTGGACCTGGAATGGTTCAGCAAATTCATTCTGTGTTCATGGAGTGCGAGAGCCATGGGGAATAGAAGAGCCCTAAAGACAAATGTAAAAGCTGCAAAGGAAGGAAGATATTTGAGAGAAAGAGTTCATACTGACAATGGCATAAAAAATGGTGAGAAGGTAACATTGTTTGGTGAAGGAGACCAAGAATCAGAAGATATTATCATTATTTTAGATCATGCTGTTTTTACCAGACAAGAACATCTTTTCATGTGTATGGACATACTTGTGGTAGAAGCACTGTGTGGCTTTCAAAGTAGAAGAGACTGAAGAAATGGACCATGCAGAACTGGTGGACTTTGATCTGACACCATTACTATATACTACTAGAGATGCATATGAGGATGATGAAGTTCAGTGTCAAAGCTTAATTGGGGCTAGTGATAACACTGCTAGTATTTGATATGCGGAAAGTGCATAAGTGAAGGACTAGAATCATAATCACGACTTGGCTATTTCCAATATTCAACTATAGTAGTGTTTTAAAGTTAAATGTATAAACTCATATAAAAAGCTCCAACTTTGCCATGTATGCATGATGACTTCAGTGCGTAAGATGAAATTTTAGTATTTGTAAAAACTACTTTTTGTTTAAAAGGAAAAAAGTTCTATAGTGTCTGCTTAGAAGCAGGAGTGGCATCTACTTCCGTAACACCTTGCCTCTGGAAACCGTATGAACCTGGAGAAAGGACAAAAGTTATACCAGTGTCCAGGTCTTTTGTTCATAGGGTTGCTATGAGGTGCCTAAGACTTGACAGCCCTTAACAACAACAACAGCACACAGAGAGAGAGCAGTTGGCCTAGTGGACAAAAAGTCATACTCCCGAGCCAAAGGTGGGTAACTCTACTCTGCAGCCCTCAGGCCTGCCTTTAATTGTTTTTGGTGAAACATTCTTCTAGGTCGTTCAGCCCTGGTGTGTCCACTTGCTGTACAGAGGTATTCGTGGCTGCTGTGAAGCCAAACACTGTGACACTGATGAGTTAAATGCGAGAATGGTTATCCATGGTGGACAGTGTTTGGTGGCGTTCTATTGCAGACCAAGGGCCCCAAAGAATGGAATAATTTTATAATTATTAATAATGAGACAAACAGCCAGGAATGAGATAGAGCAGAGAGCATAAAACAGGGGGCCAGCAGTTCTCGACTGAAGACCCCAAGCCAAGCTTCTCTGTGTTTTTATTGAAAATTATCAGGAAGTAAATCACAAAGAGAATTCAATGCAAATGAAGCCAAGCTCTTTCTATTGAAAACCTTCTGCTTGACTCAGGAAGAAGGGGTTCACAAATACAAGAATTTGGTTTACCTTTAAGGATTGCCTTGATGCCTCAGGGTGAACTCTAGCTCAGGAAGTAACACTCCCTCTGTAGGGGGCCCCTTGCTGTCTCCTGTCTGCAGGGAACAAACAGCTCATTTTCTCTGCCACAAGAGAGGTCCTAACTTATAAATCTGTAATTCCTTCAATTCCTGAACCAGGATTTTCATATAATATTTAGTATAAAGTTTGGCTTCCCACAGCGTTCCCTGATTAAAACAAGCTTGGGAGCAGGAGTGGCATCCACTTGTGTAATAGCCTGCCTCAGGAAACCCTATGAACCTGGAGAAAGGACGAAAAGTTATACAGGAGTCCAGGTCTTTCATTCATAGGGTCACTATGAGTAGGCCACAACTAGATGGCACTTAACAACAACAACAACGTTTGTAAGGCCATATGTTGTATTGTTTTTGGCTGTAGACATGGATAACTTAGACTGAAATGCTAGGTATGTCTGTAACTTCAGTGTATGACCCTTAATTGTTAAGCTGTGGAAACTGTATAAACTGGCAAATATAAGAAAATCTTAATTAGTAGAGAATTGTAGGTTTGTATAGTTATTTGTAATATATGGGATTCATGGTAATACCTCTGCATTTATCTTATTGTCTCAACTCTTAAAGACACAATGTGTGTAGAATTTAGCCTTGGACCACTGCATAAGATTTGGTACTTTTGAGAATTCTATTCCCTTCAACTGTGCCATCTTTTTCAGTCACCCTTCCATTTGGTTCATAATGCGTCCCAGATAAGGAACTTTGGAAGCTGTATTACGTCAGAAGAGATCTTTATATGAAGAAGTAATATGCATGTATGAGACTGGAAGGTGTTCCTGAGGTGTATTACAGGCTTCCTTTGGATCAATTATACTCCAAAACAATTATAATGAGGGTTTTGTTAGGTGCTGTACAGTCGAGTATGACTCACAGGGACCCTATGAACAAAAGATCTGAACC